CAGCTTAGGTTACGTGCTGCCCACGACGGTGTGCCCGCTGTGCGAGGAAGGCGTAGGCACCCTCAGACACCGCCTATGGCTGTGTCGTTGCCCCGAAGTGGTCGAGCTCAGCAGGAGGTGCAAGAATGGGCAGCTAAGGCCGACGACAATATGCCCTGCTACGGGGTCTTCCCCCGCCCCTCCGACTTCCCGCAGCCGCGCACGTCTGGGGGCACCGGGGTGATTTGGACGGAGGACGGGGGTGACATCCAGGAGTGGTTCGAGGGCGACCTTTTCGTCGATGGCTCGTGTACTCGACATGTCGCGGGGGGCCTCAACAGAGCGGGGTGGGCTATCGTGGTCGTCTCGAAAGAAGCTGGCAATGCTGCGGTGCGAGTTAAAGGTCCAGTTTGGGCGCCCTGTCCCCAGACGCCGCAGGCGGCTGAATATCACGCTATGTTTGTTGCGGTTCAGTGGGCGACAGGCCCTTTCTACTATGTATTCCGACTGCCAAGGCTGCGTTGACTTCTCTCGGTTGCCTTGGGCCGAGATGGTTTCTTCGGCCAAGCGTATGTACAGTGGCGTGGCCCAGCATTTAAGAAATCACTGGTCGAATGTGCAGTTAGAGAAAGTCAAGGCCCACCAGGACGTTCAGACTGCCACCGACGACAGTGATCGGTACGTGCGACAAGGCAACGAATTGGCTGATTTGACGGCCAAGGAAGCTGTACTCTTGCATCCCATGCCGTCGGAGTCCGAGCTCGAGGGGCTTGATCGCGATATTGCTGTTGCCAGAGTTGTGGGCCGCCTAGGAGCGAAACTCCTTGCGTTGTGGCCGAGACTGTCTTTGGGCCCCCACGCCCAGTTTATCCCTCCTCCCCCTGCTGAGCGTCGGCAGGGAGAGGACAAGAAGGTCCACCAGTGGAGCTGGGTGGGCAAATCTTGGCAGTGCGCTGAGTGTTTGCGAGGCAAGCGTGGCCGCCCCTCTGTCGTGCCCCCGTTGGGGAGGTGCGACGCTGTTCTGAAGGTGTCCCCGACCAGGTTGCGTGAACTTGGTCATTTTTGCGTGCTGCTCGACTGCTCGGACGGCTCCTTTTTGTGTATTTGCCACAAGTGCGGTTATATGACGTCGGTAGGACAGCTACGGAATCTCGACAGGAAGTGTGAGCCACACAAGGTGGCCGCACACAGCAATCCGTGGGTTAAGTTGAAGAAGGGGCTTCATCCTAAAAAGAATGGGGTCACCGTCGACTTGACGACGTTTTGCCATTTGTGAGGTGTGAGCCCTTGTCTGCACAGTGCAGGGCGCACCTCCCTGGCCCGTCCTCTCGGTGGATGCGGGCCACGAGATGCCCCCTAGGGCCTCGCCCACCCTGGTGCGGTGTACGTGGGCTGCATAGCGGCGCATGCAAAAAAAGTCCTCCTCCTCCTCCTCCTCCTCCTCCTCCTCCTCCTTCCCCTTCTCCCCCTCCTCCCTTTCTCCCCCTGCGAGCTGCCGAGGGCACGCTTTTCGCGCGCTCCCGCCACGCCGCCCTCCGCCCACGGCTGCGCCCGGCGCCGCGCCCGCCCCGAGGCTGCGGCGGCGAGGGCGCGGGGGCCGGGAGGCCAGGGTTGCGGACCGCGGCGCGCATCGCGAGGCGGCCGCGAGGACGAGCGCCGATGCGGGAGGTGTGCGCGCAGCGCCCGCTGTAGCGGAGGCGGCGGGCGGTGGCCACCGCCCGCGCCCTGCGCCTGCTGCTGCTGCCTGCCTTCCTTGGTGCGGCTGCTGGATGTCCCCCCTTTTCGCTCTCGAGGTGCTCGCGGAGGTGGTGGCCCCAAGGGCTCCGAGGAGGAGTGCCTGCTCGGAGACGTCTGGGCCGCTGGCGGCCGACCAGCACGCCCTGGCCACGGCGGTGCGGGGGCGGAGGCGGTGGCCCATGCTGGGGCGTGCTCTGCCGCGGGCAGCGACGGCCGCCTGCGCCAGGTGCGCGCCGACACGCCACAGGCCAGCGAGGACCTTCGGCGTATCCTGGAACCCGGGGCTTGGAGGCATGCCGGCGCCCAGCGGCGAATACGCCCTCTGGTGCCAGTCCCCGTTGCGTCCTTGCCCTCCGGGCAGAGCTTCTCGGGGAGCGTGCAGCGGCGGTCGTGCGGGCGCTCGTCGTCGCGGGCGCTGCGGAGCCCCGCGCCGCGCGCCCTTGGGCGCTGCGGAGCCCCGCGCCCTTGGGTTTTTCCCTCCTCCCTCCTCCTCCTTCCTTCCTCCTCCTATCCCTCCTCCTGCTCCTCCTCCTTCTCCTCCTCCTCTTCCTCCTCCTCCTCCTCCTCCCTCCCTCCCTCCCTCGCTCGCTCGCTCGCTCACACTCCCCACTCCCTCCCACCCACCCTCCCTCCCTCCCATCCACACTCACCGCCACCCACCCCACTCCCTCCTCACGGACCTCCACCACCACCTCCACCATCCTCCTCCTCTCCTCCTCCTCCTCCTCCTCCTCCTCCTCCTCCACCTCCTCCACCACCTCCACCTCCCCCTCCACCTCCACCTCCCCTCCCACATCCCCTCCTCCTCCTCCCTCCTCCTCACCACCTTCCACCTCCACCACAAGCTCCTCCTCCACCTCCACCTCCTCCACCACCTCCCCCCCCTCCTCCCAACCTTCCTCCAACCTCCTTCTCCTCTTCCTCCTCCCCTCCTCCTCCTCCTCCTCCTCCTCCACCTCCTCCACCGTCATCCACCCTGCTTTCCTCCTTCTCCTCCTCCTCCTCCCCTCCCCTCCTCCCTCCTCTCTCCTTCCTCCTCCTCCTCCTCCTCCTCCCATCCCCACCTCCTCCCTCATCCTCTCCTTCCCTCCTCGCACACTCACCCACTCCCACCCTCCCTCCCTCCCTCCCCCCTCGCCCCGCTCCCCTCCCTCCCTCTCTCCCTCCCTCACACCCTCCTCCTCCTCCTCGTCCTCCTCCTCCCGCCTCCTCATCCTCCTCCTCCTCCTTCTCGCTCCTCCTCCTCCACCCGTCCTCCCTCCTCCTCCTCCTCCTCCTCCTCCTCCTCCGCCTCCTCCTCCTCCTCCTCCTCCTCCTCCTCCTCCTCCTCCTCCTTTCTCCCTCCTCCACGTCGTGGCCGTGCAGGTGCTCGTCTGCGCGCGCTCGTGGCGGGCCAGCCTCGCGGCCGCGGGGGAGCCGGCCAGCATTCCCGGGCAACCCACAGGGTAGGGTAGTTTGATGGGCTTGCTTTATCACCACCACCACAAGAAGAGGAAGAGGAGAGGCGGAGAGGGAGGGAAGGAGAGAAGAGAGCAGGACCCTCACCTCCCCCTCCTGACTTCTGGGGTGCGTGCGGCGGCGGAGAGAGCAGGCCCTACCTCAGAGCCGCCAAGCAGATGTCTCCAGGCGGCAGGGCCCGCACGCGGCACGTGGCACGCCGCTCGCGAGTGCCGTTCCCCACAGCGGGAGCCCCACCTGAAGGCAGAAGGAGGAGGAGGTATGAGAGGATGAGGAGGAGGAGTATGAGGAGGAGGAGTAGGGGGAGAGGAGGGGGAGGGGGAGGAGGGGGAGGGGGAGGGGGAGGGGGAGGGGGGGAAGGGGGAGGGGAGGAGAGGAGGAGGAGGAGGAGGAGGGAGATGAGGAGGAGGAGGAGAAGAGGAGGAGGAGGATCCCCAGCGGCAAGTTTCGGCACGAGTGCCCCACCCCAGCCGATACGTGGGCACAGCCCGCACGGACTGCGGCCACCCCAAACGGGGAGCACAGGAAAGCCCCAAGTGGGCGGGGGCCCGCGCTTGCCCCCCGTCGCCCCCGACGGCCTCCTCCTCTTTCCTCCTTCCATCCTCCTCCTCCTCTCCTCTCCTCCTCCTTCTCCGCCTCCTTCCTCCCTCACACCTTCTTACCTTCCTCTCTTCCTTCCCTACAACAACCCCCCTCCTTCCTTGCTCTCTCCTCCTTCATCCTCCTCTTCCTCCACCACCTCCACCTCCTCCTCCTCCTCCTCCTCCTCCTCCTCCTCCTCCTCCTCCTGCACCCCCCTCGTGGATCGCGGCCACAAAGGAAGCTCCACCGAGGGCCCCAGTGGCAGGGTTCGCGCGGCGCCGCCTTCGCCAGGACGCGCCACCCCAGTCCGCCCTTTCGCTCGTCCCCATCCTTCGTTCCGTTTGCCTCGCGGCACTCGCAGCCTGCAGATGGTCTGGCCTCTCGCAGGAATGCTTCAATGGTGCTCCCGTTGCAGCGACGGCCTCATTTCAGGATCTGCGCTTCGACCCCGTCGTTCCGACGGGCGCTCTCGCCCCAGCGTGGGCCACGCCTCTGGATCCGATGCCCTCCCCCTCGTTGCCGACCGCCCCTTTTCCCGTCTTCTCTGGGTCCTCGTGTTTTCCCGCTCCGGCTGCTCCTTTCTCGTTGCCCGCCGACTCCTCCAGATCGTTCTCGCCCGCTACTTCATCCTCCAACGCTCACCGCTCCCTGGTCTGATCGCGCACCTCACGACAGGGGCAAGTCTGGGGGCCCAGGTCCGCGGTCCGCCGGGCCGCTAGGACACCCGTCAGCCTCTGGCAAAGCAGTTGGCCGATCAAGACGGTGATTCATCACCGGCACTGCACTGATGGACTTGCGACCTCTCGGAGAACCTTGGGAAATAAAACAAAATCAGCGCAGTGGGAAGGGATGGGCGGGAGGGGCAGGATGTCAGGAGCGGCGCCAGTGGGAAGGGATGGGCGGGAGGGGCAGGATGTCAGGAGCGGCGCGCGCACACGCCTGGCCTGCCCCTCCCCCCTCCCCCTGCTCTACTTCTCGCCCCTCGCCCCGTCGCCCCCCCCCTTTGTCTCTCCCCCTTTCTCGCGGTCTCCTCTCTTCCCCCGCTCCTCTTCCCTCCCCCCCCCCTTTCCCTCTGGGAGGGGGGACCCCTCTCCTGCACCTCTGCCTTTCGTCTCCTCGCCCTCCTCCTCTCCCCCCCTCCTCTATCTCCTCTCCCCCTCCCTCCCTTCCCCCCCCCCTCCCCTTTCCCCCCCCGCTCCTCTCCCCCTCTCCTCTCCCCCTCCCTCCCCGCTCCCCGCGACCAGGAGCTGCAGCAGCAGCTGCGCACGGACGAGGCACGCCTGGCGGACGTGGAGGCCGCGCGCGCTGCGCTCGAGGGCGCGTGCGAGTCCGCCGGCCAGGACAACGCCCCCGTGCCGCCACCCACCAGCCAGTGCGCCCCTCCGCCACGACCCCTTGCTTTCGGCACGGCAGGCCCCTCCACCCCGCTTCCTTTCTTTCGGCACGGCACGCCGCCTCCTGCATCCCCCCACCCACCAGCCAGCGCGCCCCTCTGCCCACGCCGCCGCTGCCGACGCCGCCGTTGCCGACGCCGTCCTCGCCGCCGCCGTCGGCTGCGTCCTCGGGAGGCCCCCGGGTGTCCCCCCGGTCGGGCCGCGCAGGCAACGTCGTCGTCGTCGTCGCCCTCACATCGGGTCTGCCGCCGCCGCGGGCGGTCTGCTGCTGGTGATCGTCCTCCGCTTCCTCTTTCGGCCGACTTCCACGACTTCCTCCTTCTCCTCCTCCTCCTCCTCCTCCTTCTCCTCCTCAATTCTTCCCCTCCTCCCCCTCCTCCCTCCTCCCTTTCCCCTTCATCACTCGTCCTCCTCCTCCTCCTCCTCCTCCTGCTCCTGCTCCTCCTCCTCCTCCTCCTCCTCCTCCTCCTCCTCCTCCGTCCTCCTCCTCATCCTCTTTCTTCAGCCTCCTCCTCCTCCTCATCCTTCAGCCTCCCCCATTCACTCTCCTCCATCCTCTTCCTCCATTCTCTTCTGGCGTATACGTTTTTTTTTCTCTAGCCTTGCCCGGGAGGTGTAGATACAGTCCTACTCCACCTCCAGCACCAGGAGCCCAGAAACCAGGGCATTGCACACAAAGATGTTGCGAAACCCGGCTGAAGAAGACAAGCAGTGGAGATTGTTTCCGTTCATTGCTGCAGTTTTCCCGAGCGTACCAGTCTCTTGGCTTATCATGGTCCTTGCACCGGGGTCCTGACTTGGCCGCCTGCTATTCCTTTATCCTCATCGCCCTCGTCCTCTTCATAGGCCTCGCCCTCCTTTTCGTCCTCATCCTTTTCACTCTTTCCGCCGAGGAGCAATAGGAGGATAACCTTATCGATCTTCCTGTCCATCTCTCCTTGTCGATCATCCCCGGTCCTCCCCCTTCTCCTTCTTTGTTTCCTCCTCCTCCTCCTCCTCCTCTTCCTCCTCCTCCTCCTCCATTCCTTCCTCCCTGGCATCATTGACCAGAACCTCGCCGCTGCATTACCAGGCGAGCTGGTGGGCTGGGCACCTCGCTACTGGTCTTGCAGCTTGAAGTGCCAAGCAAGTGCACTCCTCCTCCTCCTCCTCCTCCTCCTCCTCCTCCTCCACCTCCTCCCCCTCCTCCTCCTCCTCCTCCTCCTCCTGGGGTGCACAGGGGTGGGTCGTTTCCAACACGTGGCTCTCGCCTCCGCTCCGCTCCCGGCAGCTACACGCGTGAACTGCGGGCCGCTGTTCACGCGCACATCTCTTCACGTGTCCTCACACGTTTTGACCGCGTACTCCAGATTTCGTAATAAAAGGGAGGGGGTCTGGACCCCCCAAGACAAGCCATTTCAGACCCCACCCCCCGTGGGAGAACCCTCCAAAACATCGTCCCCAGACCCCCCCAGGCCCTCCAAGATAGCCTGGAAGAGACCCCCCCCGAAATGAGACCCCCCTCCCTTTATTACGAAATCTGGAGTAAGCTCGAAGGTGCTTCAGAGCTGCACGGACGGAGGGAGGTTCCTTATCACAACGGTGATCTCGTTTGAGACCACTGGACCTTCGACCAGCAAGCCGTCATAGGGGAGGCCTTACGGCCCGGTTCCGCCGGCCTTGGAAGGGGGGATCGGTTGGCTCTGGGCAGGCCGCAAGGAAACCGAGGAGCGCAGGAGGTCAGGTTGACGATTACCCCAGAACGATCCAGAGAGCGCTCCGAGATTGGAGAAGAGACATAACGCCGTACTGCCACGATCGAAGACGCCCTCTGCGGCGTGTCACTGCCCCGTCTGCCTCTCTGAAGCACCCACGCGGCCAAGTGTTGCCTTTCGGAGGCCCTGGGAGAACACTTGCGAAAGGAAGAGGAACGAGGAGGAGAGGAAGGAAATGCAGGAGAAGGAGGAGGAGGAGGAGGAGGAGGAGGGAGGAGGAGGAAGAGGAGGAGGAGGAAAATGAGGAGGCCTCTTGAGGCCCTCCTGGGGGCTTCCTGCGAGACTCTTGGGGGCCTCTCGGGGCCCCGTTGGGGGCCTCCTGGAACTTCTTTTGGGGCATCTCAGGGACCTCTTGGCCTTCAGAAGCCGTCTTGGGGCCCTCTCTGAGCAGTCGTAGGTCCTTTTTGGGCGCTTTTGCTGAGTTGGTTGGAGGTCTATGGGGCCGTCTTAGGGGTGTATTGAGGGCATACTGGGCCGTCCTGGGTCCTTCTTGGGCCGTCTGGCAGGCCTCTTGGGGACCTTGGCAGCCTTCTTGGGGCAATCTTGGAAGCCTATGGGGCCGTCGTGGAGCGTCGGAAGCCCGAAAAAGCAAAACAATGGTAAATCCATGATTGAGGGTTCCTGGAGCCCTCTTGGGCCGTCCTGAGGGGGCTATTTGGGCCGTCTGGAAGACATTTTGGGCCGCCTTGGGGCCACCTTAGCCGTCTTGGAGGCGCCATTTGACCGTATTGGGGCCCCTGGGGGCCATCTGAACCGCAATTTTGGCCGTCTTGGAGGCCATCCTGGGGCCGTCTTGAGCGGGAGAACCGACGGAGCAGACATGCCCTGAGCTTCCCCGAGTTTCCCGGGGTCGGGGACGCACCGACCCGGGCCAATGCAAACCGGAATCAGCCAGGCTTTGCAGGGCTTTGCAGGATCCTGCAGGATCCTGCACCCTAGCCCAGGCCAGTGGCTCTGCTGGATCCTGCAGGAGCAGGCGCTCTGGCTGACCTCCTCCTCCTCCTCCTCATCCCTTCTTCCTTCTCCTCCTCCTACTCCTCCTCCTCCTCCTCCTCCTCCTTCTCCTCCAGGCGGCCCGAGGCCGCCCAGCAGCGCACCAGCCGCCTATCGACACAAGCAACACATCACACGAGCAGTGGGCCCGATGTTCCCTTCTCGTGAATAGAGCGAGCCGCACGGCGGCGGCGCTGCCCCGCGAATCTCATGGGCGGGGAAAGTGGATTGTTGAGAGCAGTATGCTACAACCCGTGTGCTGCCAGGACGACGGAGCGGCTGAATGACATTGTGCAGGCGCTGCCGAACAGAGACATCTACGCGCTCGTGGGCACACAAGCAAAGTCGTATGGAGAGCAGATCAATGAGACTCGTCTGATCGACCGCACCTGGGTGATAGAGTTTGGGCATAGGCGAAATGCATATGTCACAGCATCTTGTGGTATCACGTTTCTTATCAAGAGCCCAAGGTTTCCAATATCCACATTAGAGCGGATATATCTTACACCAGCGTTGTTGTGGGGACGGTGTGTTGCTGCCAGTTTTCAGACAAGATCTGAAACTATTGGAATTATCGCGCTGTATTTCCCCCTCGGCAGACATCGGCAAAGTTGTTGCGCAAGACCTACGAGGAGGCCTGCCAGAAGATGGTGCAGTGGTTTCAAACAACGTTGGAAGAGATGTCACGCAAACAGCTTATTCCTCTTGTATTTATGGACTTGAACGGGGGGCTCCCCTCGTCAAAATACGACAGAGTAGCTGGTCCATGTGGGTATGGCAAGGAAAGCTACTCGTCTTTGCAGCTACGTCCGCTTCTGGATGGATGGGGCCTCACTGCAGCTAACACTCATTATGTGGCCCCCCCGAGCTACGTCGGCAACAACAACGCCAGCTACATATATCACATATGTATTCCAGTGGAGATGCTTGGATCTGTTGAACGTTGCAATGTACTATTATGTGAGGCAGGAAGGAGGCTACAATTACATGACGTTGGTGAAGTACGTGACCACAGGCCTGTGCAACTGGTTGTTAGGCTTGTAACAGCGGTGCGGCCACTTCCTGAGAGGGCCCCACGCCCCAATCGTGAGGTGCTCTTCTGCTGCCTGCAGCAGGGACACATGAGACAGGAGCTGTTTGATGTTATGGAAAGGAAGTGCGAGGAGCATTCCAATTTTCTGAACGAGCTTGAGGCGCAAAAAAAGCTGGAGCTGATGGGTGAAACCTTTTTGTGAATATTGTGAACAGTTCGTTAGTGGAAGTACTACATACGAGCCCTCTCTACACGGAAGATCGCCAGAATCAGACCGCACTACTGAATCAGCTGGTTTTGAAAAGGAGAGAATTGCGTTATCAGCGGTCATGGGCGTCCACAACAGATCAGATCGAAGTCCTATCCAACACAATCAAGCAGGTGAGCAAAGAGCTGAAGCAGTCCAACCGTCAGCACTGGGACGCAATCACAAAGAGGAGATGCGAAGACATGCGAAAAGGGCCGCCAAAGACAACAATGGGCATCTCGTGCATCGGCTTGCTCGGCGGATTGCTGGGCGAAAAAGAGGTCCACGACAAAGAAAGTTTGCAGCGATACCCACATCGACGGGAAGCGCAGCAGGATGGTGTGCCAGGATGAAGTTACCCAGCTCGAAAGGAGGACGTTCTGCTATTGAGGCGGGCGTTGGTTCTGCCATGCGCGAAGTTACTGCAGAAGGGCGAGAAGTTCTCACTGATGAAGAAGCTATGGAGTTATCTACGGATGATTGGAATGGTATGCATAAAACAATATGGCGGATGAAACCTTGGAGGGCGCATCCAGCATGGTCGATACCTGTGGACGACCGCGACCGCAGGTTGGTATAGGAGCTGATATGAGTGAGTTCAATGCCCCAAATATCACTCAGGGGCTCCTTCGGGCCATCCTTTTTCTCTCGCGCAAGTTGCAGCGTGTGCCGCTTGTGCGGCATGCAGCTCAGGGCGCTCGCCCTCCGAAGGGATCGAGGTTGACGGCGGGCGGGTTATTATGATCATGCGTACCATAGGTAGAACAGATCACGCTGCAGCCTTGAGAAGGAAGCTCGCCCCATGGCGGCCAGACGAGTGGATTCATGGTGGATTAAACAGAAGACGACGGGAAGCTGCCATGGGCACGCAACTTAGTTCCTCGTTTCGATTGCAGGCTGCAGGCGCATTACACTTGGTAA